GGCCAGAGGGGATCACCGACGTGCAGGGCTCTTGCAAACGGCACTGTGCGATTCTTTCCTAGTCTCTCAGTAAGGGCCCAGGTTACACTGAAAATGTGTCTTTGCAAATGCAGGCAGGGTTTGGAGAGTCAAGATCCTGCTGTTCCGCCGATGGCAAACCCCATACAACTGGGTTAAACTCTCCTTCCCGCCTGCAACCCCATAGGGAGATCACACATGCAAAGCTGATGGAAATGTGTGCAGAGAAGAAGGACCAGACACCGCTCCCTCTCTCTTGGCTGTGTGAGTCTTGCAGGGCTAACAGGAAAAGAAAATAAGGAAAGCACGCCCTCGATGCTCAAGCCAACATCTACGACTCCGTCCGACATAGGCCAGGAGTAGATCTGCATGAGGAAGCGCTGCTTTTGCACAGTCTCTTCTCTGTGTAGAAGTGCATTATGAACATCACCTAGAAGGCACGGAAAACGATACAGAAAGACTGAGGATGTGCCACGAGAGAGGAATACCCATGCTGTCTGAATGCCTTGGTCAAGTGGGCTCAGTTCAGCCACGCTTTTCAGTAGTCAAGTGCAATATCGTCCAGTGAAGTAGGCACCTTTACCAAATAGAGGATGGCATTCAAAGCATCTGAAAAGGATGGAGGAGACATTGTATGCAACCAAAGTCCACGTGAGACCTCAGAACAGTCCCGTAGCCAGAAGGGCTGGCTTTATCCACGGATGCAAAAGTAGAGAAATATCAAAGAGGAGTGCGGAGTTGTTACTATCTCTGTATACAACACGGGAGAGGCCATTGGGGGTCTCTGTATCTAGTTCTGGGGTTCACACTTTAAAAAGGATTTTGAAAAATTGAAAAGGTTTCAGGAAAGAGCTACCAGGATGATCCAAGGTCTGGGAATCCTGCTTAATAATGAGGGACTTCAAAAACTCAAGCAAATTAGCTAATCAAAGAGAAGGTAATGAGGGAATTTCTTCAGGACCTATAATTACTTCCAAAGAGAGATTCATATTTCTTGACACTTCCTTAATCTACCAGGCAATGGCAGAACAAAATCCAGGGGTTGAAGCTCAAGTCAGGAAATTTCATATTAGATGCGGTGCACATAAGTTTCAACAGAGAAATAGCGAGCCGTCGGCATGGGTAGACTCTCCGTGGAGTGTTTGGATCAAAAAGCGGTGTCTTTTTTAAATCCCTGCTGAGGCTCAGCCCCGGTTTTGAGGTTAGATGCAGGAGTTTCCCTGCCCTGTCCTGAGCAGGGAGAAACATTAATGCAGGGGTTGGCAACCATTCAGAGTGGCAGGGCGGGCATTTGTGTCCCAGCCACCGCTGCAGGCCGTCAACCCCTTGCCCCCACCAGCAGTCCCCTTTTGCTATAATCTGTTCCCTCTCTGCCCCACGGTGCTGCCAAAAAATATGGCAAACAAAAAAAACCAGCAGCAAAGTTGCCATTTC